CATGACTTGAAATCGATTATAACTCCACAGGAACTCGAAAATGACTTAACACGCAATCACAAAATATAAACAGGTCGTGTTCTGGTTCATCTCGCAAAACCCAAAATTGATACAACTGACCCGTTTATTTATTCGTGTTGACACTAACCCAATAATGACACGTTATCAACACGAACGGACTAATAATTTTATTTAAATTGACCTACTTAACCCATTTACACAGTGTATACAAAGAAAAATATAACACCAATTAAGGTCGACAATGTCCTTACTTTATTTGACTACACCCAATTGGTGGATAGTGAGTTGGGTCACCACTCCCTCACCACTTTCCCCACCTTTTCAAATTTCAGCCCCCTCACCTTTTACTTTTTCCTTCGGTTTCTGAGAAAGTAGTCATGCATTCCCATTTCCCACATTATCCCACCACCCAAATTTAACTACTGCCTCACCCAACCAGGAGACCACCCTCACGTCCATCACCTACCTCATGCCTTCTGAGGCATAACCCCTTGTCATCTCATACTCTATTTTCAATCTTCCACTCACTTTTCATACTCTCAAGTCTCAACCTTCATTGGCAAGTCAAATCTATAGATTGTAGCAACAGTTGAGTCATGCACGGCTTCGCCAAAAGTATAGATCTATATCCTTTCCTCGGGCCCTCAGTTCAGATCTCTGTCATTAGGTCCAAAAAAAAAAAAAAAAATTTCTCAGTTTATTACTCTTTTCTTTATGCTCAAGATTTTTTTTTTTTTTTTTTTGGGTTTCTCAGTTGAAAACTTGAGATCACTATTAATTTTGTTAGATTTAATCTATTGAGATCTCTGTTCCTCCGGTATGGGTTGTTTGAGATCTCTTTATTGATGCTTAAGAGTTTTTTTGTTCTTCTATTCAAATCTCTCTGTTGAGATATCTGTTCCTCTGGCACAACCTTTAATTTGGGGACAGTGAAGGTGCAGAGAGTGTCAGTTGCTGTAGGTTGTGTTAATAAACGTGTCACAATATGTCGTGTTCAGGTTATGCGTGTTATTGTCGTGGCGGGTTCGTGTTTGATTTTCAACTCGATTATTTAACAGGTAGTGTTCAGGTTGAGGGTTGTTCGACACTTCGACATGAACCCAAAATGAAACGACCTAAACCCAACATAAAACGATTCGATTGTCACCCCTATCTAGAACTGGTACCCTTAGTGCAACCTCAATTGAAAACCAATAAATTCGACGATTAAAATGGATGCTGAATGTTGAGGTGTTTATATCTGACACGTCCTGATATTACTATGTTGTTAGTCAATTTATGCATGCTCCTAATAAACGTCATTGAAAAGTTGTTTATCTTATTCTTCGATATTTGAAAAGAGCACCGGGTAGAGGATTGTTTTATCGGTAGTTATCCTCCTTAACTGTTATTGAATTTTCTGATGTTGATTGGATGAGCAGCCGTGTTGATAAATGATCTACTTCTGATTATTGTACATTTGTTGGTGGTAATCATGTTACTTGGCACAATAAGAAATAAAATGTGGTGGCGCGTTCAATACGAAGGCCGAATATCAGGACATGGCTCATACTATATCTGAGATGCTATGGGTTCACTTTCTTCATCGTAAGATGAGTGTTGATGTGTCATCTCCTCGACAGATGCATTGTGACAACCAAGCAATAGTTTTTATTGCTAGTTATCTAGTGTTTATTAGCATATCAAACACATTGAAGTTGATTGTCATTTTATTCAAAATATCTTAATGCAAAAAGAGATCATTACTCCTTACGCAAAGTTTGGTGATCAATTCAGTGATATCATTTCCAAAAAATTGGCACGATCCACCTTTAGTAACCTTTGTTCCAAGCTGGACATTTTTTATCTCTATACTCCAACTTGAGAGGGAGTGTTGGAGTTTTACTTTCCTATATTCATAATATTGTAATACTCCTTAATATCAATATAATATAAATAGGTGATAAGGTGTTGCCACTAAATATTCTACTCACAATATTGCTCCATAATCTCTCTCTTTCTCTCTTCTCCTTATCTTTCTTTTTCGAAACCCTAATAACTTAATAGGATATGAATATTGAGAGATTATATTGATTCTACAAAAACAACTTTGGGAGGCTAGCATAAACTTTTTACTTCTATGAATTCGAATCAAGTTCCATAGTAGCTTCAAAAAAAAAAAAATACAAAACAAGGGCATTGCCCTATTTTGGTTCTTGTGATGCTACTCTATTAGTTTCTCAAAACAAAACCTTTACCATATTAAACAATAGCATGGTGATTCTGCAAAGGATGGGATTCAAATCCATCACGCTGATCACTAAATCAGTACAAGTGGACCACACTTGGTTAATATACTTGTAAAAGTTATTTTAGATTTGTTGATGTAACCCAAGCCTTTAATTTGATACCAAAATTATTTTCTTTTTCCATCTTTGCCCTAAATTCTCACTTTTACAACCTTATTGGAATGTCATCAGACCTGATATAATTACCTTTTACCAACTTGAAGATCCTACTTTGGAGCCTTATCTTTCCATTAATACAGATTTAAACATGACCACATAGAACGGGAAAAAAAAAGCCAATAAATACTATTGATGGTACCATCACTAAATTAAAAAGGAGAATATCATTTTGCACCTTGAAAATTTTAATATTTTCACTTTACACCCCCCAAAACTAGATTTTTTACATTACACCCTCAATATATTAAAAGTGTTGTAATGTGGTCATTCGATTAACTGTCGTTGCTTATTTCATCAAAAAATCAACCTAGTTTAGTGGGAAAAGGCATCAACATTATAGGAGCATTTCCCACATTAGTCTGCTTGCGCGAGGTGACCCACCTAGAAAGTACTCTCCACATTCCATACTCCTTGTTCCCTGGCTGACACTTTGTCTCAATTGCCATGTGATATTATCATCTTCATAATCTAGTGACCAATGCTTGTTAGTTCCACTCTTGATATGTGTGATCCAATCTTATTAGATAATTATAACTCTCCAATAAATGCTTTGTTATGTCTAGGTGGCCCCGCATAGATCATTCATAAATCATACTACAAATTATATGCAAATGACCTTTCACTGCAGTTTTTTTTTACTATGAGGTGACGGCCAACATTTTGGTCAACTTCGCATTTACTTATAAGAATAATTTTTTTCTATAGTGGAAACAATTGATTTTATTACTTAAAAATTTATATCTTTGGGGTGTGTTTGGATGGCAAGATAAGTGGGAATATCACAAGTTGGACAACACACTTTAACCTAGGGGACCACATATACCATGTTTGGAAAGCAACTTTTTGGACCAAATAAATATTTTGGGCTAATCCCGGCCCAAATGCTACAGTTGATTTTATCCTTTCTATCTGGGTTTATTGTAACCCATCTATGGGGTGGGTTAAATCTAGGATTTTTTTCCGCCAGTAGGATAACCTTTGCTAGTTACTATTTTACCCCCAAATAAACACATATTGTGCCAAGATGAAGACGTGGGATCTAGGTGGGTTGATATGAGGAAAGCTTCGTTTTTTTATATACTTTGAGATTTTTTGTGAAGAAAGCTTCGGTTTTGTGCATCTATGGTTTGAGATATGAAATTTGTGGTTTAGGGGTTTTGTGCATCTATGGGGTAAGGAAAGCTTCGAAGGTTTATGGTATTAGAGGTGCCCTGAATGAACTATTTGCTAAAGAATATGTAGGAGAATCTTGGATGAAACCAATATTACTTGGATCGTGGGTCACTTTGGTACGTGATATGGATACAGATACGCGGTACGACACTCTCTTATGTACGCGGTACGACGAGAATAGGCTTAACTAGTACAGTATTTTGGGTCATAATTCACTTTGGAACTCTGATTTAGATCGTTTTTACCACTATACAACATTATATATCATAGAATATGCATAAACACTAAATCAGTTACTATTTATCTTATATTTATACTCGATTTCTATCATTTAAAATAATATATAATTATAAATTTATATACATGGAGTTAATTAATATGTATTTTATATTTGTGCAATGTATACAGTTTAGGCTCGTACATTTTGATGATCTGAATCGCAAACCCACCCTGTTTGGAATTAATGTACCCAAATCGTGGGTCGTTAGGGATTTAGTGAATTCTGGTATCTCTGGATGAAACTTAGAGGAGGAATGAAAATTCGTAAGAGAATTTCTGTGCTAATGAATACCTTAATTCCTAGTATGAATTTGGATGGAGGCAAACTTATGCCTTGAAGAAAATTCAGTTCTCAGAGAATTTTGTATTGGAATATCTGGCATGATGAAATTGCAGCCAGGAGCAATTACTTCAATTGGAAACCCTATTGTCAAGACCCAAATTCAGTTGCAGATCACTAATTTGTTAGGGAGCATTAGGGTAAATTTGAGATCAAAAAGACCTTAAATCATCCATGACGTGGGGTAAGCCAGGGGATCCACAAAATTTCAAAGACAATTGCCAAACATCATTTTGGTTAGGAATAGACCCTATTCCAATCCGGTTGGATTGGGTTGGGTTGCTTAGGTTAAAAAAATCCATAGGACCATATCTATCTTATCCAACCCAATCATCCAAAGACACCCTTGTAGGATTGTGACAAATATATCAGGAATAGCAAAATTATGTTTCCTTACAAGTGTGTTCTTTTTTCAGCCATTATTAATCTTTGGGATTTCCTACTTAATACTAAAATTTTCATGACTATTTCATGCATTGTTTTATATTTCCTAGAAGCAAAGAAAAACTGAAATGTCAATTCACCATCGGGAAAGTCTAAGAACTAAATAAAATCCTGACTTGTGCAAAAAATAACACACGAGGACCCTGATATCTAGGAACATAGAAATCAATTACTGTCGAGTTCTTGCAATCAGAAGCTAAACAATGGTTCATAGTGATTCTTTAGCAAGATCATCTTTTTCACATACTGTAAGAAATCCTGTTAGCTGGCATGAGATTTATTAAATTATATCCAATTTAAGAGCAACAGAAGAGTGCAAAATTAATAACAAAACGAAATTTATGAATCAACATTTCACAAAGAAGGATCAGGAAGTGAAGAGATGTACTAACAATTGAGTCAATCTGGAGGACTATATTAGCATAATGCAATGCAAGACCAGCAGGCCCCAATCTTGGTTGACTGTCCAGAGATCCTTTTGATGATATATCTCCATCTGCATGTGATAAAAGGGATGCATTTTCTAAAAAGAATGCTAAAGATTGTTTTACAAACTCCTCAATGTTGTAAACACAGGGATTAAGTTTGTTGAAACTATTCACCATATAATTTTTGGACTAGATCAGGGTAAACACTTTTTAATGTTTTGCCATGCAATGGATAATTATTTTAGCAAGAAGTTATGTTTTTGCTGCTTCATTGATAGGATTCTGAACATCTGCAAGTCAGCAATAAAGGAGACAAAGGAGAGGCAGAGAGAGAGCAAAGGTTGGAGAGCATGTTGATAGGCATAAACACATAAGTACTTTCCAAAATTAAAAGCAAAGAGTTTGCCTTCAGTATTACGGCGACCACCACTGCTGCCACCATCACCACATCTTATCTGCAATACACAACCTCCCCCACATCTTTAGACTACTGCTTCCTTCACTGGCATTGGCATCAAAGTGACTGCTGCCACAGCACTCTCACTCCCCCAGGATTTTGAGCACAAATTTTCACCACCACTAACATCAACGACATTCCCAGTGACCAAGGATCAACATATCGTTTCGAAACATATGAAACAATGATGGAATCGAAATTTTGATATTTCGAGGTATTCCATAATGTTTTTAGATGTATTATAATATTTCAATGCATTTGAACAATTGTTTTGAAATGTTTAAAGGGATTTCAACATATTTTGATATATTTTCATCAATGTTTTAGAAAAATAATTCTTAAATTTTTTATTTTTTTCATTATATTTCCGAAACGGATCGAAACGTTTCCGTTTCCTAGATGACTGAAACAATACACCGAAACGATATTTTGATCCTTGCCAGTGACAACCCCCCCTCCCCAAAACCACCACCACCCACACACAGAGTGAGAAACTACTATAAGAAAAGTCTCAATACATCTTATAAATGCTCAGGCATAGATGAATTTACCAGCTGCATCCAAGATGAGGTTCCAAGGTGTATGTCTATTACGACGATGAAGTGTTGAGTAATGAAATAAAGTAGCTATAAATACTAAATTGGCAGTTTGGATAGAAGTACTAGAAGCAAAAGGCTTTCAAATAACTAGGCATTGTTATCTAGGCTAGATCATTTAGGCAATGGTACTTAAGACTTAAAAGCAGTGATAGAGTGCATCTAATGTTTGATTTGATTATTTTGTACCACTTAAGGTGAAAGAAAAGCTTTATAAACAGCTAAAAGACAAACAATGTTTTAAAATACAAAATTTTGGGCAATTAAACATGTTAAATGTGGCTGGAAAACAGATTTTTAAAAAATGGATGCATAATAAAAAAAAAGAAGAGAAATTCAAAATGAACTTATTTCGGGGATAGAAGTAACAACATTAAGAGATGAATAGAGAAAATCAACTAAATTGACATAGATGTGTTCTCCGACTCCCTACAGCTGCACCAATGCGAAATTAACAACTTATGATTTAACCAAAAACATGGTTCTAGAAGAGAACCGAATTGAGTTTAGATTTAAATGCCTGACTTTAATTTCCCTTATCACTCGCAAAATCATTAACTATCTATTAGTGATAGAGGTTAAGACAAGATTCAGAGAGGTAGAAGAGGCAACATAATAACACCAGTAGAGATATTAGTAGCGGTAATCTTTTCACTTCGTCTATGTGTGTGTGTGCAACATTTGTTTATGAGAAACCTTCAAGATTTATCAAAGAAAGAAGATGAGCAGCAGTAATGTTGCATATGGATAAGAATTACTTTAATTTGTGGAATTATTTTGAGACTATAAAAGAATATAATTTGCAGTCCAAGTCATGAATGGAAACTAGAATATGATTGTTTCTGAGATTTATTTTATACCTGGACTGCAAAAGGCCACATGTATCTCCCGATTCAGATAGAGTACAATATCCACGAGTTTCTCCATGATCTGAAATCCAATGTATGCAAGAATGAAGCAGCTGAGCAAAATCAAAAAAATGTACTTAATGCAGATCAGTGTACATCCAACAATTAGGGCTAACAATAGGTTGTGCTCTGTTGGATTTGTATCATATCTAAGCGAAGATTGGATCAACTCATACAAGATCCATTGAGTAAGAGCAATGCTACATGGACTTAAAAAAGTAGACTTAAAAACTAAACTTGATAATTACAACCATTGATTTTATTGTGGGTCCCAGCATTTATTAGGACCCACTACCTATTCAATGGTTGGAATTATCAAGTATAATTTTTAAGTTCATATAGCATTACTCATTAAGTAAACAGATCCACGTCTCAAACACGAGCACATACCATTGATTCAACGAGTAATGTTGGACCGTGCACGGGTTGAAATGCTTAACTACCAATCCAAACCCGCTTAAGACAATAATTATTGGTTTTTCTCTCATTACATTGTGAATTTAAAGATCAAAAGAACTGTTAGTTATAAGGGAAAAGTCAGATTGTAGAGCAGGGTTTTGGAGAAGAGAAAAATATGGGAAGATGGTAGTTTGTTAAGTTACACAACTGCACTCAGCTTGGTTATATATAGTCATAGTCATAAAGTACTACAATACCCTTAAGCTAAAAATAACAAATAACATAACACTTTCACTCAAGTTGCTGCATAAATATCCCTCGTACCCAACTTGAAAACAATGCGGTGAAAAACCGTGCTACTAAGCCCTTTTGGAAAAACATCAACTAATTGATCTTTTAATTTCATTAAGGGCATGCAAATTAAACTCTTATTTAACTTCTCTTTAATAAAAGTGTCAATCCCTTGGGCTCTATCCTCAAAATATCAGCAAGAGGACGTAGAGTCTTATATTCAAGCCAGCGCTGGGTCAAATAGTCATAATAATCCTGAACGGTCATATCTCTCGCCCGAGCATATGAAAGCTCCTGAGAAAGCTCATAAACATGAACTCTCCGTCCTGACTCGGAATACATCTCTGATAATGCTCTTCATAACTTCGGAACAGAGTTATGAAACTGGTGAACCCTGTAAACAGATGACTCCATCGACCCAAATAACCATCCAACAATGGCGCAGTTCTCAGAGAACCACGTAGAATATCCAAGGTCGTCATCAGCTGGATTTGAGTGATATCCCGTCAGCCAACCAAGCTTCCCTATACGACCAAAGAAAAGCTGGAATGAGCGAGACCATCCAGCGAAGTTACGGCCATTCAACAACTATGTCATATCTTTCTAAGAGATCATGTCCGGTTGTGTTGATAATGCAATTGTGCCTATAGATACCATATACTGGTCAAACATAAAAGTAAAAGTACCAATAGATGTCTCAACAGTAGAGGTGTCAACAGTAGGGGTCTCAGGTCCCTCAGCAGTAGCCATAACAACAACAATACTAGGGCACCCGTGACAAAAATAACTCTAAGATAAATAGAGGGATAAAACAAGGGAGAACAATATACCTCCAGTCGAACAGTAGAGACAAATAAAGGTCCAAAAAGCTTCTAAATAATCAGGTCACGTTGCCTAGAAATTCAAGAAATATAAAAGTGATCTACTACATCAAAAACAGATCATTGGAGAGGAGGATCCGCTCTCTCCTAAAAAAGTCTTAGATACTGAAACCTGACAGCACTGTGACAAAGTGTGCGAAGGACGAAGCTACAACGAAAAAGCGGCCTAGCAGTGGGCTGGCCAATGACCCAAGTTGGGTAGTTGGTCGCTGGGTTGGGCAGTGGGCTAGTCTGGGTTGGGTTTGAATAATGGTGGGTCTGGGTTAGGTTCGAATAATGGCTGTCTGGTTTGTCTGTGGCTTGCAAGTATGTTTTGTTGATTGTCTGGTATGTGTGACGGTGGGGATTGGTATGTGTTTTTAGGCTTTATGGTGTTTCGGTGTTATGGTGTATGGTATATATGGTGTATGGTGTTTCAATGTTATGTTGTATGGTATATATGTTGTGATGTGGTTTATCAGTATAGGCAGTCGGTTTGTTAGGTGCTTTATGGAGACGGATGGAATAGAGGCTGTCGGTGCTTTATGGAGGCAGTCCGTGTCAGGCTTTGGCTGTCGGTTTTGATGTTTCGGTGTTATAGTGTTTCGAATAATGGCGTTTCAGTGTTATGGTTGTCGGTGATACCAAGAGGCAGTCGGTGTAAGCAGGCTGGTTAATGTGATTATGGGTTGGTTTGATGGAGACAGTCAGTGCTTGTGTTGGTTGTGATTGGTGATGAGGGCTGCTGATCGCCGGTGAGAAAGACAGAGAAGGTTAGGGTTAGAGTTAAGGTATTTCTCTAATACCAACTTAAAATAAATGTGAGCAAAAAGGGATACAAATTAAGTATAGAGCCCCCGTATATATAGCCAATGAAAATTATAATAAAATAAAAAGATAAAACAAAATAAACCCTAATAAACTAGACTACTATATCTCCACCAGTTTGAAACACTTTTTGATTTTTTATTGACTATTGTTATTGTTTGCTCCGAAGCTCCCTTCTCTTTCTCCTAATATTCTCATCAGTCATCACCTCGTCTCCTCTTCTCATCCCCATTCTCCCCCTTCCTAGTCTACATCACCAAATGTTTCAAGAATTTCACACTATGCGACATTTTTGTTTTTTCTTGACAAATTCTCGATGTTTTCTACTGTCACATCATGAGTTTACATTTATCATTAGGAGTATTCTAGTTGTTCTCTTATAATAGGGTTTTATATAGTGTTGCTTGTATCAAATTTTCATTTTCACGGAATATTAAAATAGTAGATTCATTTTCTCTCTTACTCTTCTATGTATTACACCCCGAACTAGCGGCACAGCCTGATTACACCACAAACCCAGAAAGGAAAACCAATACATGGTAATTTTGTGTTGATTTTATGTGGGTGAGCGAGTTGTGTTAAGAGTTTTCATGCCTACCTAAAAATACCGATGGTTCATCCTGTCCTTAGTAGGAGTAAGTGTAATGTGAAGTCCAAAAGATGAAATCGAAAGAAGAATCAATTATATCACCTTGTGATCAGCAAGGATCAAAATTTCGTTTCGAAGTACCGTTTCGGTCAACTCAAAAATAGAAACGTTTCGGAAACATTTCGGAAACGCAATGGAAACGCAGAAAAAATATGGAAACGCATGAAACACAAATGCAATCCATTAATTTATAAAGATATGCTAAATAATTTATTAATTCAACATATTTATTAGGTTAACATCAATTTATACAAGAATAAATTTAAATTTGAGGGAAAAAAAGGCTTGACTTGAGGCGAAAGTCACTTAAATTAGTTTCAAACACTTAATTTTATGAAATAAACACATTTTTATATAATATTAAGGTCTTATAATACACATGAAATGCTAATGAGTACATACTTACATGGTTACATCCATTCCCCTGTGGAGTGTCGAGCAGGCTCATATATCTGTGTAGGCTCTGGGTAGCTACTTAGAGAAACTCCATATGTAACATAAATATGATGATAATAGTTACTCCAAATCATATTATTACGGTAATATAATCCAATTAATAATACTATTTTATTATAATACTAATAATGAAGGGTATCAAATTAAATTAATGATACTTATGTATACTTAAAAATTAAATGTAATTGCAGTGGGTATTAAATGTAATTACAGTAGGTATTAAATATAATTACATTAGGGTATTAAATGTAATTGTTAATACTTATAACAAAAAAAAAAAGCAAAAAACTTGCACAGCAGTGAGGTATTAAATATAATTACAGTATGTATTAAATATAATTATAATGGGTATTAAATATAATTATAGTAGGGTATTAAGTGTAATTATTTATTCTTATAACAAAAAAATTATAAAAGACAGAAGAGCAGTGGGAATAAATGTAATTATAGTGGGATATTAAATATAATTATAGTGAGTATTAAATGTAATTACAGTGGGTCTTAAATGTAATTATAATGGGGTATTAAATGTAATTATTCATAATGAACCGAATATATCACTGTTTTGTCGAAACGGTTCGAAACAATGCCGTTTCGACCGAAACGGTCCGAAACAGTACCGTTTCGACCGAAACACTGGAATTTTGTGATTCAATTACTGTTTCGTTTCGGAGTGTTGAAATTCCGAAACGTTTCGGACGTTTCGGACGTGTCGACACGACATTTTGATCCTTGGTGATCAGGAAAAGTTGATGAGATATGCAAGCCAATAAACTTCAAAATATTATAGATAATGAAATAGGACATTTGCATTTTAAACTAAATACAATAAACTGGAAACATTGCAATAAAAACTATATAGCAGCACATAAAAAGTACCTCTTCTAAACTCCTGGACCAGAGTGACTTCTTTTTTAAATTTCTTACTTGCTTCCTTTGGTTCTTTATTTCTGCCCGCAAGACCGCAAGGCTGTCACCTAGTAAGTAAAAGAATAGAGAAAGACTTGTACGGTTAAAATATAATGATAGCCCTGAGAACATTACATTGAAAAAAGTAGGAACCTAAAAAACAAACAACCAGTGTAATCCACAGCTTTCACAATTTCATCACAAATTGTACATAGGTTCCGACATTTTCAATTTGAATCACTTCAAGTAAGCTGAACCACTTAAACATATGATCCTCATCATATATAAGCTGGCCCCAACATATCCATATGTAACATCTCTACATCATTTCAAATATTCCAACAGATAAAGAGAAAGTATTCCAGTAAGTAGTGTATTTTATTAAAAGCAGAATCCAATCAATCCATACCAACAAATACACACCTAACACAGCAGTAGATCTTCGACAACCATTTAGCATTAACGATACTACACCAAACTTAGGTGGATCTCCTAAACAATTCAAGCAACAGCAAAAAGCTTTGCAGAAGGGATTAATGACCTTGCTAAGAGCAAGCCACACATAAAATTGATTGTCACAATCCATCTTTTCAGTACTGAACGAATAATCATAAAGAGTTTTTCAAGCAAGTCCAAAAAGATTGCTTTGCTTATAAGTTTGTCAAGAGCCACTGAACATTCCAAGCAGGCTTCATTGATCCCAAAATGGTGCTCAATAGCACAGAGTTCAGTCATCTATTGGTCAAATTATCAAAGAAGAGCAAAACAACAAAATCCAAGATACTATAGATCCAATTCCTAGTGAGAATCTTGACACACATAAATTACGGTGTACACATGATAAA